CCGGAGACACTGGTGGAAGCCTTACATCATAATCAGCTCAATGTAAAATTCATCTAGTCTGAGAGATACAAACTTTACCAACAGGTTAACATGCTCTCATTGATTTGAACCACTGGTAGTACATGTGCGACTGTCCCATCGGGCAACTTGTACCACCTGGTGGAACTATCCCAAGCTGCCCAATGGGACAGTCATCTATGTAGCACTGGTGGAATGGGATTGTTCCATGCCACCACTGCGACAGTCATGCACCAGTGATGCATACCACCAGTGATGCAAGCCAACAGGAATGTAACACATTCAAATCAGAGCTGCCCAACAGTGAGACATATGAATTACAGCCCATCGTGAATATGTTAGAGATACAGGGTAGTGTAATTACTGCTAAAGGATACTAGTGGAGCTTCTTTTTCACCTGTGCCATCGCAACTTGAACTTATCAACAGCAAGTATCCACTCCTTCAAGGACTTCTGGTTTAGAAACTGCCTCCAAAACTATATCTGGCCTTCTTGATAAGCACATACTATTGGTAACACTGCCCATATTTTGAGATCTCTTAGCACCACTCTCTCCATACAGGCCATATTCTGTGGAGGAGCAGTTAACCTTAGGTTCCTGTGGGGAAGGATGGGAGGGAGACTGACAGTATAAATCCTTGGTAGAGCACTGGTGTCTTTCCTAAAAGGAAAGGGAAAAGAGGAAAGAGACCACTCCTAAAGCAGGAAGGGAACTGTGTGAATCCTCAGACTGCTATGCTATAAAGTCTTTATAGCATAGCAGCTGTGCATGAATTGAATGTACATTTTCTTGTTAGAATATTTGATCTGAGTTCCTGCCAGATATTTTTGGTTTTCTTCTTTGATTTAGTTGGTGTTTATTTTGTCCCCTTTTTTCTTGTTTCTATATCTCATTTTTTCAACTCAAGCTTCTTTAGCAACACTTTTTCTATTATATCTTTCTTCTTTCTCTCTCTCTTTCTCTTTCTTTCTTTCTTTCTTTCTTTCTTTCTTTCTTTCTTTCTTTCTTTCTTTCTTTCTTTCAGACAGGGTCTCACTATGTAGAGGAGGCTGGCCCTGAGCTCACTCATGTAACCTAGGCTGGCCTGGAACTCATGGCAATCCTCAGCCTCCTAAGTGCTGGGATTACAAGCATGTGCCACCGTGCCTGGTTTAGCATACTTTTCCTTAGTTTTTACTTGTTTCTCCCATTTTAAAAATTCTTCTTAGATTTTTAGTTCACCATATTCTTTCCTCTCTCAGCCACTCTTGTCTTCTCTTGTATTAACCTTCTGTCCTCTCTATTCTATTCCTTTTGTTCCTCCTTATCTTATCCCTCCCCCTGTATTCCCTTGCCTCTTACTCATTTTATAGTACAAAAATATATGTACAGATTCTGACAACTTTATACCTTTCCTCAATCTCAGTGTAACCTTCCTTATCTTATATGCCATCTTTGCCCCACAAGTTTATTCTTAAAATCCTCATCATTAACTCTTGAATCCAACTAAAAAACTTCCCACAGATGACCCATGTCTAATTTTTACCTATTATTATTTCTCATATCTACCTCTTTCCTACTGATTTACACTTCTCTTTCACCCATCCTCCATCTCTTCCCTTTATCCTCCTTCCACATCATGGAATAACTCCTAATAACAATTTTTTTGGTCTTTTTTGTTTTTATCGGTACCAGGGATCGAACTCACGACTGCCTGCTTGCAAGGCAGGCACTTATGCCACTGAGCTAAATCCCCAGTTCCTTCTTAATAACAATTTAATATAAGCTGGAAGAATATTGATAAATGGTGAAAGTGTAACTGTGAAGTTTGTCACAAATGAGTGATATATGACTGTTGTGGTTTAAATGTCCCCCAGAGCCTCATGCAGTCATGGGAGGTGGGCCTTTCTAGGGTGACTGAGTCTAGCATTTGTGATTGGTTTGTTGTCTAGTGCTGGGATTAGTGGCATGAGTGCTGCACTCACTCAGGGGCAGGTAACCAGCATAAACTATAAGGGAGGGAAGGAGGTGTGCTTTATGCTTTTTATTCTGTTTCCTCTTATCCCTTGTGGCTGCCATGAATGGCTGCCCTTTAGCCATGCCACCCTCCCTTGGAGCAGGCTGAGTATGAGCTGAAAACTCCAAAAACTGTAAGCTAAATAAACCTTTCCTTTCCTAATTTTGGGCATCGAGTATTTTGTCTCAGCAGTGAGAGAAAAGTAACCAATACAAAATTTGGTACCAAGAGTGGGGTTGTTGCTGTGATTGTACCTGACCATGTGGTTCAAGAGCCTTTGGAAACAGCTTGTGGGAAGAGTTTGGAAAAGTTCAGAGATGTCACCTGAGAGAGTGGCACTGGAATGCCTTAGGCTGTTCTGTATGACAGATTCTCATCAGAGCTTAGAAAACTAGAAAACAAGTAAAAACCAGCTTGAGAAGTTTCTGATGGGAAGGACTACACTGGTTTTTGGACTCCAGACAATGGATGTTATAGTTTGGCAGAAAGTTCTTCCGCATTTTTCTCATGTCTAGACTCTTTCTCTGAGACAGAGATTAAGGGCAGTGGACTAATTAATCTGGCATAAGAAATTTAAAGGTAGTCGAATGCTGAGGTAGTAGGATGGTAGTGGGGACTTTTAGCCAGAGTTATGCTATAAATCAAGAGCTAAGAGCCCATCAGAATTATTTAAAATATTTGGAGTTTGGCCAGAAAGAAAACTCTAGTAAAGCTGTGGACTGTAAAGATAAAGCTGAGGTCTCAATTGCTGAAAAGCAACAGAATAAAAAAGATGGCCTAGGAGCATCTTAGGAAGTGGCCCACTCTAGAAAGGCCCACCTCCCATGACTGCTTGAGGCTTTGGGGAGACATTTCTACCCTTTGAAGCCTCAAAACTGCAAAAGTGAAAGATTTTGCCTGGAGGAGAAGGTCACAGAGCACCATGTTCCTGTATGGCAGTGGAGGCCATGTGAGGTTCCAAAATGGTGGTGGCTGCAACAGGTTCCAGAATGGCAGCAACATAGAGAATTTGTTCCTCACAATCAAGTTCAGAGTGCTCAGTGATCCAGGCACTTGACCCCTAACATCAAGAGAGAGGAAAGCTTGTTTACTGCTCCAGCTTGCAGCAGACTTTGGCAGCATCCACGTGGCACCAGTTTTAGACACATGGAGAATGTATGAGTTATGAGGTTTAAAAGGCTTCTACCCCAATTTTAGAAGGCCCAGGAGGCCAGGCAGTATGTCTCTGAGAGGGCAGTGTGTGAAGTTGTGAGTATCAAGCCAAAGGTGCAGTGAATAACCCAGAAGTTTGGAAAAGCCAGGAATATGGATTGCCTAAGGAAAGCTGCAAGAAGATAGCAAAACAGGTTTAAGAGAGAAGCTGTGGAAGGTAAAAGCCACCTAAGTGCCATGGGGGTAGAGTCACTCAAGCCTTTTCAAGCTCACAACCAGATTGCTTCAGATGCTGAGGTGGAACTCCAGGACTTAACGTTTGCCTTGCTGGATTTTGGACTTGTTTTTATTCCAGTCCTTTGTATCATGTTTGTACCTTTTAAAATGGTAATGTCTATTTTTTACCATTGTATGTTGAAAGTGTTTAACTTTGTTTTATTTTGTACAGGAGGTTATAGCTATGACTTTGCCTTGATCTTGGAGGAAACTTGGAACTTGAACTTTTCAGCAGTGTTGAAAATGTTAGAACTTTGGCAACTCTTGGAGATGGACTAAATGTCCTTTGCATAAAGGATGTGCATGAGTCTTTGAGGGGTGGAATGTTGTGGTTTATTTAAATGTTCCCCCAAAGCCTCATGCAGTCATGGGAGGTAGGCCTTTCTAGGGTGACTGAGTCTGGCATTTGTGATTGGTTCATTGTCTATTGCTGGGATAGGTGGCACGAGTGTTGCACCCACTCAGGGGCAGATAACCAACATAAACTGTAAGGGAGGGAAGGAGGCGTGCTTTCCCCCTTTTACCCTGTTTGCTCTTGTCACTTGTGGCTGTCATGAATGACAGTAGTAGTTAAGGGAATAATCCAACAAGACGAGGTAACATTTGTGAATATATATATATATACTGAATAAGAGAGCCCTATCTTCATAAAATAAATACTCCTGGACATAAAAGATCAAATAAACACTAACAGTCATAGTGGTGACTTTAATATCCCACTTATGCAAAGAGATAGATCCACTAAACAAAAAGTCAATAAACATCAGCACTAAATCACACCCTTGACAAACAAACTTATTAGATATCTATCGAGGGTTCTTCTACCCTACTACAACAGAGTACACATTCTTCTCAGCAGCACATAAAACTTTCTCCAAAATAGACCAGAACTTGTCCACAAATCCTGCTTAAATAGATATAAAAGAATCAAAATTACCCCGTGTTTCCTATTAGATCATTGTACAATGAAACTAGTAGTCAATCACAAAAGAAGCCCCGGAAAATTAAGAAACACTTAGAAATTTAATAACATATACCTACATATCCAATAGGGCACAGAAGTAATCAAAGAAGAAATTAAATAATTTCTGGAAATAAACAACTATGCTGGTACAACACACCAAAATCTATGGGACACAATGAAAACAGCCCTAAAGGGAAAGATTATTGCAATCAATGCTTCCATTAGAAAAAAGGAAGCTCAAATAAAAAACGTAATGAGGAACCCCAAGATACTTGAAAAACAACAAAAAATCTAAGTCCAGGAAATTAGTCATCTTCCTCTGCAGAGAGGCTGGGTGTCCTTTGCTGATAGTGATCTTCCACAAAAAGCCACTGGAATCAAATATTTCCTCAGAACTATGTGGGTGAGATATCAAACAAAGGTGAGGCATTAGCATTGTGTCACTACCCCGCTATCATCCTCATCTTTCCCCATTCCCTGCAACCTGCTTATGTCAGGACTCCTGTCCAACCATCCATCTCTGGATGTCCCAGCAAGGTAGGGTTGCAGAAACCTGTTACTGAACCAAAAGGAAGGCACCTCTCACCAAGGAGTTTAGAAGGCAATGATTTATTATGCTAATAGGCTAGTGGGAATCAGTTACAAATCATCAGCTCTGGTTAACAGAGAAACAGAAACTTATATACATTTTGTAAGCAGGAAGTATAAAAGCTAATAGCAGGTTATCATATAATTGGTTACATGAATTAAGTTATACATTGTCAGGTAGAATTAACTAAAATAAATTGTTTATTATGAGGCAGGGAAATTCTAGGAAAGGGGCTGCTGAGCAGGGCAGGTAGAGTTAAGTATGTCCTTGATTGGGCTATCTTGTCCCAGGTAGAAAGTCCTTAAAGCATATTGGAAAAATGGGCTATATTTTTAGGTGGAAAAATATAGCACTTGCAGCTGAACTGGGACAGGCTGACCTGAATTAGGGTATCTGTGAAAAGCAGCTGGACACAGTCAAGGGTGACTAGGTTTAACAGTGTAATTATGTGACAGGCGGGGTAAGCACATCTTGTCCTAATACAATAACAGGTTACTAATTAATTTTTAAAATTTCTTGCTATAAAATTTCCATTACAGTAGGTGTCACTCTGAGGTTTCCTCTCTTGGTTTATATGTGATTGCCATCTCTCTGTGTGCTCACGTGATCTTCTCTTTGGGAAGATATATAGAGAGACAGATACAGAACAATGAGTGAGCTGTTTGGTGTCATTATTTTTTGGTACTAGAAACTGAACACAAGGGTTCTATTACTGAGCCACATCTCAGCCTTATTTCTCATTGTAACACAGTTTCGGTAAATTACTCAGGTGGGATTTGAATTTGCTAACCTTCTGCCTTACTCTCCTCCAATGCTCAGATTACAGGTGTGCAAAACCCTGTTTATATAAGAACACCAACTTGATGGAATCATGGCCTCATTTTTATGACCACGTTTAATCTTAATTATTTTCTTTAAGGCCCTTTCTCCAAAAGCAGTTACTTTAGAGATTAGTGCTTCAACATACGAATTTTTGGGGGACAGAAAATATTAACATACTATAGTTTTTTTTCCTTGGCCAGCAATGAAAATAGAAGTGTCTTCATTTTGCAAAAGCAAGAATCATTCTGTACTGAATTACAATGATGATGAGAGACTGTTAAAACTTCCATTGAGGGAAGAAATGGAAGGGGATGCATTTGAAAGAATCTGCTCTGCTATGTGCTCAGGATGGGGAGAGGCTGAGTCTGGGCTGACCAGTGGGGTGAGGGGATAGAGAACTCAAGGAAGAGGTTTGTTGTTTGAACCCCCAAAATAATCTTGAGTCATAAGAAGGGCCTGAGCTCTCAAATGAGCTATGCTGGGGAGAAAAATCGGAGATCTTACCAATTATGGGAAACACATTTTTTGTTTTCTACCCTGAATTACTCAAGGATGCTGTGAATTTTTATGCTGCCTCAGTTCCTTTCAGGTGAAGATGGAGATGCTAGAAAGGACAAACCTGGCCCAAGAGAAAGTGATCAATCACTTGGTCCATGGAGTCTGGTGTGGTGTGGGTTCCAGTGTGTGAGACTCTGGCTGGCTGTACTCCACTGGCTCCTGCTGCACAATGGGCTCCTGACTCAGTGGCACATGTGGCATAGCCTCCGCATGCCCAGTTTTTTCAGGATTCAGCATATGGTAAATCATCAGAAGGCCATGGGGCCGACTCACAGTGGCTGGTCTACATCCCCAGGGCTGAGTGTCCTGACAGGTGAAAAATCTCCCTTTTGAAAAATCTTTTGGAGTAGCCGTTAAAGAGTAGAAACTTGGAATCCTCCTGCCTCAGCCTCCCAGAATGCTGGGATTATAGGTATAACCACCACATCCAACCATATCCTACTCTTTCAGTATCCCATCCCTCAAACAGCTTAGTTTATGACCACTGTTCTACCCAAAATGAGTCAGCTTATCAACTGCCATCTCCGTGCATTTGTTCTGGAGTTTGTTCATTTTGAATGGCTTTTCTGTGTCTCCAAGCAACTATCTCTGTGAGGCCAGGTTTTCTTCATCACAACCAAGGCAACATATTCCAACAGACAGAATGCAGCAGCAGACTGAAGTAAAAGAAGAAACAATTGTTTCATGTTAAATCAGACATTAGATTTGTAGATTTACTTTCATTCTAGTTTTTGAAAACATTTATGTGCAAATAATTTCATAGTATTACGTAAGGTTTAATAAATATTTTAAACACTGTTCAGTTTTAATTTGAATACTGTGGTATATTATCTACTTAAAAGCTTTTTGGGATCAATGACTTCTCAAAAGTATGAAAGAATCCTGAGACAAAAAATTGAGAGCCGCTCAGCTGGGAAAGATATTTATACAAAAAATAAGCAGAGATTTTGCCCAGGAGGTAACATGTTTGATAATAATCCTTTTCTCTATTTTTTTCCCCTCAGTTACTGAGGTTGAGCCGAGGGCCTTCGCGCAGAGCTACAGCCTCGGCCCTTTTATTCTGAAACAGGACTCAATAAATCTCTATGTTGCCCACGTTGGGCTCGAATTTGCGATCCTCCTGCTTCAATTTCTGATAAAACTTTTATTAATGTTGGCCTAAGGGTGACCCTTTGGCCCGCCTCGCCTCTGAGAGCGCCCAGGTACCCATTGTGACGCCGGCCGCAGTTCGGGGCCCGGCCCTGTGCCAGGGTCTGCTCAGAGTGCCGGGAGCCATGGCCGAGGCGCAGGAGCAGCGGCTGCAGCTGCAGAAGGACAACCGTGACGGCCGCCTGCGGAAGCAAGAGCTAGAGGAGCTGGTGCGCGGGCTGGAGGCCGAGAGCGAGAGCCTCGCCGGACGCCTGCACGAACTGCGCGAGCAGGAGCGCAGGTGCGCGGGGAGCGCCGCTCGGCGGAGCTGTAGGGCTCGCGGGCGGCGGCCGAAGGCGACAGGGCCGCCTCGCCGGGCCCGCACGTTCCACCGAGGCTGCTGGACACTCGGACGACCCTGTCAGACGTCCGGGGAAAGGAAGGGGGGCGCCCGGCACGTCCCGAACCTGGCGAGTTCTGCTCCAACCCCGCCCGCGCCGGTCCTTCCCGGGGAGACAGAAGTCGCAGGATCCTGAGGGCCCCGCGCCCTGGCTGTAGCACCGGCTTCAGTTTCCCTCCGCAGCCTACAGCGGAGGCGAAGTCAAGCGGCACCAGCCCTAAGAGCGGAGGCGCGCGAGGCGGTGAGGGAGCGCGCGGAGAGGGTGCAGAAACAGCTGGAGGCTGCGGAAAGGCGCAAAATGGAGCTGGTGAGGGGCGGGGCCGGCGGGCGGGGCGGGGCCGGCGGGCGGGGCGGGGCCTGGGTGAGGCGGAACCGGCGGAGAGCCCGGACCCCTCCCTCGCTCTTGTTCCTCAGGAGCAATGCAACCGGCAACTGCAGGAACAGTGGGAGGAGCTGTCAAGTCAGGTACCGCAAGGATGGGACGGTCTCTCTCTGGGTTCCTCGCGGAGGTTCCGCTCTGGTCCCAGTCCCCTAATACCCTTCTTTAGAACCAGTACACACCCCCCCTCACAAGCCCCTCCTCCAGCTCTTTTACTATGGCGGGGAACAACTGAGTCAGCAGCGCGCAGAGCAGCAAGTGGGGACCCACCTGGTGGAGCTGCAGGTGCTTGGGCGGGGCCTGAAGGGTGGGACCTGAAGGGCGAGGCGGGGCCACGACTCCTGGGGGCTGGTGTGGGCGGGGCCCTGAGACACCTGTTGGCTGCGGGCGAGCGAGTCCCTGACTTTTCTTGGCTCCTCGCGTAGAAACAGCTGGAGCTGGTGGAGGCCAAGCACGCCATGCAGGCGGAGGGCCTGCGGCAGGTGCGAGTGGACTCGGGACCCTGGGGAGGGGCGCCTTCAGGTGTGAAGGAGCCTGGACAGTGCAGGCGGGTAGGGAGCGGTGTGTCCCCTGGAGTCTGATCGAGGCTCCGGTACCCCAGGACTCGCAGCGGACGGAGGAGGCGTGGGTCAGCTTCCAGGAGCAGAGCGGAGTCCTACAGGTGCGGTCGCTCTCCACCCTGAGAGCGGGTCACCCCACATGACACTGCAGCCCTTCCCCTCCACCCCCAGATCTGAGGCGGTTGGCGCCGGGAGGCCTCCCCTCGCCCTGAGTCCTCACTCCCGCCCGCTCAGGAGCTGCAGGGGAAGGTGATGGAGGCGGCGGCTGCGCTGGACGCCTGGCGGGGCGGCTCGGAAACGTAAGCGAGTTAGTGCGTGCGGTGGGATGGCTGTCGGGGCCACCAGAGCCGATGGCCCATCTAAGTGCCTGCTTTTGCAGGTGGGATTCGCGGTCTCTCCAGGTGCAGGACTGCGCGGGCTCACTTATGGAGGAGGTGGCCAGGGCGGACTGCGTGAGCGCGGGTCGGGGCGGAAGGGCTGGAGCTGGAATCCAAGTCCTCCGGGGAAACCTGGGCGACGCCGCGCCTGCGGCCCCGGCATAGAATGGGACGCGGGTCCCTTTTCTCTCAGGAGAAGCGGCTGTTTGGCGGCGTGGGCTCGGGGCGTCTCAGGTGAGTCAGGCGGCCGACTCGTGGGGCTGCGGGCTCCTTCTTGGTTCCCTCCTCCTGCCTCTAACCGTTTGTCTCTGTGCTGTGAGTCTGCAGGCTGTGGGCTTTGCGCACGCTGCAGACCCTGGTGCTGCGCCCGCTCGGCTTCTTGGTGGTGCCGCTGCTCTACTTGGTGCTGGTAAAGCCTGATGCCATCCGCCAGGGACTCGCGCGCCTCCGGTCGGATGCCACCTTCCGCCGCCTGCGTTACACGCTGTCCCCACTGCTCGAGTTGCGCGCGCGCGGGTTGCTGCCTGCCTAGAGCGCATCACGCCGGCCTTGGCCGTCTGCACTTCTGTCTCCTGTGTGGTTCCTGGTGCGCCTGGGTTGAGACGGCTGAGGGTGTGTACCTCACGTGACCACCCTGACTAGCCAGGGCACTTTGGTTCAGTGGGTGCCGGTCCTTCCCACCGGACCTTAGGCCTTGGGAAATGTCTAGGGCCGGCCTTTCCCATAGCCTCCTGCTGCTTTGTTTTGTTATGTTTGCTTGTTTTTTTTAGCCTCCCACTGTTTTAGCCTCACCCATCTCTGGCACTAGTCGGCAAACTCACTGAACTCGTTTGCCCCTGGCCTGAGCCTTGGGGAGGTGGAGGCCCTGCTGAGTCAGGTTTTCCCATGGATTCAGTGATTCTTCTTGCACAGCTGCGTGTGATCGTTCAGATCCTTGTAGCCTCATTTTCTCTGGGTGGGCTCCCCATCCCTGTGAACCCCGGGTGCCTGCCTCTGTTTTCTCTCTTACTAGGGCACCTGATCACTGCCAGCAGTGAGCACTCAGGACTTCGGGCTCTGTGGGTAATTTTCTTTTTATTTAAGAGAAGTGTTCTTCATGGAAATGAACTTTGGGTTTTATTTTGTCTGATGCAGCTCTGCTTATTTTGCAGTAGTGAAATGGTGAAATCACTTGATGTATCTCTGTCCATACGCACAGGTTTTTACAATGATGTCTAAACTTTTTTTTTTTTTTTCTTTAGTGGTGGTGATGGTAGTGGTACTGTGGTACTGGGGATTGAATGCTGGCTTTCACACAGAGTTAGGTCCCTAGCTGAAATAGGGTACCAATACCCTCACCCTAATCTTTTTCATTTTCATCGCTAGGCATGTTTTAGGTTTTTTGGTTAAAAATTTTATGTAATTTTTATATCAAATTTAAAAATTGTGCTTTGAGACCTAGAGAATTCATTCTTGCCTGGAAGTCATAAAGACATGACATTTTTCCCTAAAATCTGATTCTCCTTCCCCTTTCCCATTTTGGCAGTAGTACTGGATATTGAACACAGGGCCCTTGTGCATCTCAAGTCCTTCTTATTTTGAGACAGGATCTCACTAAGTTGCCCCAGCTGAGCTCAAACTTGCAATCCTTTTGTCTTAAATTTTCAAATAGCTTGGGTTACGGGCGTGCAATGCCTCCCCTGCCTCCCCTCTCCCATGCACAGTTTGTGACCATGGTGTGATAGAAAATTTGGAGACAAAACTTAGTTCAATCACTGAGAGCTCAGAGGGGCCATCTCAAGCCAGAACAGACTCCCAGAAGATGCTCCAAAGGTAAGGCTTTTTAGAATATCAGTGTAAGAGGGAAGAAAGCCAAAGAAAAGCAATTTGGGCAAGGCTAGGCTGTTTTCCTGGGAAAAGGGGAAGAACAATATGCCAGACATGACACACTTCACTAACTGTCATATGCGTCACTCCTCACAGAGCCTGTGTGTTTTTTTATACTACTCTTTGACCAAATCCCTTGCCAGCCCCTCCACTTTCTTTTGAGATGGAATCTCCTGTGTTGCCCAGGCCGGTCTTGAATTCCTGGATTCAAGTGATCTCTGTGCCTCAGCCTCTGTAGTAGTTGAGACTACAGGCCTGGGCTTCCACACTAGATTTCTTCTAAATACTTTTATTTTCTTTTTAAATTTTCTTCTTCTTTTTGTTCTTTTTTTCTTTTAAATACTTTTAAGGATGTACTTAGACCACTGACAAAGTGACTATGGGTAGAGGTGGATTTATAGCTATCATATTTGTGAATGTTCTATTTATTGCTTTTATTATTCATTCTTATTTTTTTCTGCCTTTTGTGCTTTTAAGTGAACATTTTATGACTCCATTTTCTTTCCTTAGCATATAAATTATACTTTTTGGGGCAATACTGGAGAGAGTGAACCCAGGGGCCTCAGCCATGCTAGGAAAGTAGTGCTCTACCACTGCAGTACATCCAGGCTTTTAAAGAAATATTAATTTGAGACATGGTCTCACTGAATTGCCTAAGCTGATCTTGAATTTGCCGAGAAAAGAAGCTGGGATTACAGGCATGGCTATACCTTTTTTTTTTGTAACCATTTTTAGAAAGTGGTCCTGGGGCTGGGGATTTAGCTCAGTGGCATAAGTGCCTGCTTTGCAAGTGTGCGGTCCTGAGTTCTGAAAGAGTTGCTGGCCCAGATGGAACACTGTAACCAGAAAAGGCTGCAGCTAAACTCTTCCCCCTCTTCCCCCTATGGACTTGATTGTAACCCTATATCCCCATCCTTAAGAACCTGTGCGCCAATGAGATACCTGTGCATCTCTAATGGCCTTAGGGCGCTGCCCTAAGCTTAGGCTATTTAGATTCCCCCACGCCACGTGTCCAAGAGAGTTCGCCAGAAAGAGAGTTCGCCAGAGAGAGATCGCCGGATTCCAGCAGCCAGCGCGCCAGTCTCCTCTCCCCGTGTTAACCACGCCCGGCCCTGGGTGCAGTGGAGGCTGCGCCCGGGGCTGGCGGAGGGGGGCCTCCCCCCCGCATTTCCCAAATAAAGCCACCTGCTGCCCACTACTTTCACGGCCGTCCGCTCCATACCTCCCACGGACTTCTTCCCTCTCTCTCCTCAACTCCCTTCTCTCAGACCTAACAAGTTCAATCCCTGGTACCATAAAAAAGAAAAAGACAAAAAAAAAAGTGGTCCTAAAGTTTGTAATATACACTTACAACTATTCCACATGCACTTTCAAATAACATTATACCACCTCAGCTATCGTGCCAATACCATATGATAAAATAATTCTATTCCCTCCCATTTCTCCCTTGTATCATAGTTGTTTTTGTTCTATCTACACATAAACTATAACTGAATACATTGCTGCTATGCTATTATTATTTTGATCAGGTATTAGATTAGTAAGAAAAATGACTTCTTTAACATGCACTTCCTAATGCTCTTCCTTCCTTTGTGTGACTAAGTTTCTGACTATAGCATTTTCCTTCCTTCCTAGAACTCCTTTTCACATTTCTTGCAAGGAAGGTTTACTGTCAACAGATTCTCTGTTTTTCACTGGCATGATGGTGAATATCTGTAGTCTCAGCTACTCAAGAGACTGAGGTGGGAGGATTGCTTGAGCCAGGGAACTGGAAACAAGGCTGGGGAACAACAAAATCCTAAACCCTCAGACATAACAAAACCCCCGAGCTCCCAAATCACATTTTTTGCTTGTGAAAGCCTTTCTCCTTTACTTTTGTTTTGAGGCTTTTTTTTTTTTTGTTTTGTTTTTTTTTGTTTGTTTGGTTTTTAAGATAGGATCTCACTATGCAGCATAGGCTGGCCTTGAGCTCCCAATGATTCTCCTGCGCCAGCCTCCCAAGTGCTGGGATTATAGGCATGCACCACCATCCCTGGCTCTTGTTTTTGTTTTTGAGACAGGCTTCCTCTTTGTAGTTCAGGCGGGCTTGAACTAACAGTGTAACCCAGGCTATGCTCAAACTTGCAGCAATCCTCCTGCTTCAGCCTCTTGAGTGCTGGGATTACAGGTGTGTCACCATGCCTGGTTATCATATTTTGTTTTGTTTTGGAGATAGGTTTTTGCTATTAGTTCAAACTGGCCTTGAACTTATGGTAATCCTCCTACTTTAGCCTACCAAGTACTAGGATCACAGGTGTGCGCCCTTTCTGGTGCTCCCATTATGAGTGCTATATCATTTGTGGTTGTCCAGTTCTCCCATGTTCTATTTTTGGTTTTACTGTTGGGAATTGAACCAAGGCCTTTCTGCATGCTAACCATAGACTTTACCCCTGAGCTGTGTCTCCAGCTCGTTGACAGTTTCTATTTAGAGATCCTCAAGCTTAGAGATTCCCTCTGTAGCCATATCCAGTGTGATAATAAGCTCATCCAAAAGTATTCATTATTTCTGTTCTCTTCTTGCCCCCAGCACTGGTGTTAAAAACAAGGCCTTGGCACTGAGGTACACCCCCAACCTATTTTTTATTTTGAGACAGAGACTCATTAAATTGCTGAATTGTCCAGGCTGGGCTTGAACCTGCAATCTCCCTGCCTCAACCTCCCAGTGTGCTGAGGTTACATTTTGATTTATGTGATATATATTATGAGATATATATTTGCCACCCCCATCCTGTTCTCTTTCCCTAACCATTTCATTTCATTTTTATTTTATTGAGACTAGGTCTTGCTGTGTTGCCCAGGCTGGCTTCAAACTCCTGGGTTTAAATGATCTCTTGCCTCAGGCCCCAAGTAGCTGGGTCTATAGGTTCAGGACACCATGCCCAGCTCTGTTCTTTCTTTTTAGAGAAAAAAGTGTAAGAAAATGTGTGTGTGTATGTCTACACAACTTTAGGCTTTAAAAAATTCTCTAAAATGGAAAGGAAGAAGAAAACAAATGAAGCTAGCTGAGTCTTGAGTTACCATAACCACAAAGATTCTTATAATAAGAATTTGATAGTAAAATCTAATTGTATGTTTACAATGGGAAATACATCAAAGAAAAAATTGCAAAACCATCTGAACCAGTGTTTGACAAACTGATAGTGAAACATCAGCACTGCTACTTTGAAACTTAATTCTTACATCATAGGCAAAAAAATGATTGGTTAATGTAGTTAGCAACCACCATTTTCAGCTTTAAAATACTCAAACATAAATTGAAATATAGTAAAAAAAATTTTGTTGTCCTACATTTGAATTGAGAGTATCAGTGTAATCTTGTGATGCATTTGTCTAGGCTGGACAGATCTTGAAAGGACAACTCAGTGGCAGTGAGAGTCTCAGCATTCAGATTACGGAATCTCCATAACAATTCCCAATAAAATGAACCAGAGTTCTTCATGACTTACTTGATTCTAGATATGTGACAGAAAAACAAAACATAGAATATCTTATTCTGGACACCAAGGAGGCTCTCAACTAAAGATAAACAGCAAGGCCGGGGATTTAGCTCAGTAGCCTAAGTACCTGCCTGGCAAGCATGAGATCCTGAGTTTGATCCCTGATACAAAAAGCAAAAACAGAGCAGAGCAGACAATCTGAGGTTACCTGGAAAGGTTGGAAAGGTACGCATTGGAAAACAGTAACTCGTGCTGGGGGTATAGCTCAGTGGCAGAGCACTTGCCTAGCACAGGTCTGATCTCTAGTGCTACAAAACAACTAGGGGCTAGTACACATCAGTGTCCATGAGTTTATAATGGACACTGAGTTTATAATCCATGAGTTTATAATATTTGGAAAAAAAACACCAGATAATGCCAAGGAATTAACTCATTGAAAACTAAAAAGTATGATACTGAGGTTTACACTGAGCCTTTACACAGAGCTATATACACTCCAGTCTTTTTTATTTTTTGAGATAGGGTTTCTGTAAGTTGTAAACTGCCAAGGTTAGGCTTGAACTTTAAAGTGTTTCATTTTATATTTATTTTTATTTTTTAAGACTCGAAGTTTAAATGCTGGGATTTAAAGATGTGTGCCACCGTAACTGACATTTTTTTCTTTTTTAATTTAGCAACTCATACACACAAAATGAAAGTGCAGTCTACTGTACTGGCTATGCTAACTGCAGCAGCTGAGCCCCCATGTGCTCAATGCAGACTGCTGTTCCCATGGACATGCGGCCATGTTCTGGTGTTCACAATGATTCACACAGAGACCCTGGGCACTGGCGCCTGCTCCAGTCCTCCTTTGGATCAGGTCCTTCGCTAGGCTTGCATAGAAGCAGAGTGGCTTCCTCAAGATGACCCATACCTATTTAGAATATCAATATCTGGGGTGTGGTTGCATTCATTTTGTCTTTTGTCTTGAGATCTGGCCCACAACAGGAGGTGTTTGTCTGTTTCCAAGGTCACAAGACATCTGGATCTCTGTGCTGGCTCCCTCGATGGCCTAGCCCTGTCGTAGTTGTTGAACTACAGTCAGAAATACTCTACAGAGGGTCTATCTAAAGGCCCTTGATAGACACCAGGCAGTTTCTTCTTTGGTGGGAATACAACTTTAAGTCTGGAGGAGACAAAGCCAAAGAATTAGGTATGCATGGGTTAAGTAATAGAATCAACAGGATAATTATGAGTATAGCTAACAAAGATTTCCACCAAGAGGAGCTAGTAATGGCTTTCCATAAGGAGGAATCTGACGTCGTTAATTTGGAGACAGGGTTTTTAAAGAGATAATTAGGGCAGAATGAAACCAGGCATGGTGGTATCCACTTGTAATCCCAGGGCTCTGGGAGGCAGGGGCAGGAAGATGGCAAGTTCAAACCTAGACTGGGCAGTTTAGCAACTTAGTGAGAATTTGTCTCCAAAACAAAACAAAACAAAAATGACTGGAGATGTATCTCGATCCAAAGGCCCCAAGTTCGATCCTCAGCCCTTCAAGGGGGAAAAAAAAGAGGCCGTTAGGGTGGGTCCTAATCCAGGATAACTAGTATCCGCCTAAGAGATCAAATGTCCCTGATAAGACGCACAGATGGGGCATCATGTGAAGACAAAGGGAGAGGATGCCACATATGAGCCAAGGAAGAAACCAGCCCTGCTCACCCCTTGATCTTAGACTTCCAGCCATCAGATTTGTGTGAAGATTAATGACTATCTGCTATGGCAGCTTGAGCAAACTAATACATCTATCATCTTGTCTAATCTTCACTTCTGTATAGAGAGCCTTTCCTGGACCTTGTCACAGCTTGGGAAGTTTATATTTGTAATTCCAAAAGAAAGTTATTCGAATTCTAGCAAGTTAATTCTAGTCTACCACTTCCAGTGTGACCCACAGTGAGAATAAAGACACTAAGACATTTATAGGTATGGGGAGCCAAGGAGATCCTAAGTCCAGCCAGGATGAAGGTTCACTGGAAGGAAGGCCTCAACCCAAGGCCAAACCCAGATTTTATTAATTTGTGAAGAAAAGAGTGACTTGAGGATGAGTAACTAAAAAAGATCAAAGAGAATATCAGTAAGTGGAAAGATATTCTCTGTTCCTGGATAGGTAGGACTAATATTGTTAATATGGTCATACTAGCAAAAATGATTTATTAAAATAATGCAATCCCAATCAAAATACCAACAGCATTCCTCACAGAACTAGAATTAATATGGAACCAGAAAAGACCCAGAATAGTAAAAGCAAATGAACAAGCAGAGCAAGGTAGGAGACATCACAATCCTGGATTTCAAGTTATATTACAAAACTATGGTGATAAAAAAACAGCACTGCACAAATGCTAATAGCACATGCATGCAAACAACTTCAGGATATGGGGAAAGGGTTATGTGACTTCTGACTGGAAGTTGCACTTGGGATGGCATTGATGACATTCAAAGAACTGACTGGAATGTGGAAGTTGTAATCAGGGAGGAAGGGGAAAGAGGAAGTGGTCATCAGGGTAAGTGTTTTTGCCTTGGCCTTCTGCCATGTTAGACCACTGCCATAATGTCCAGTAATTTATACTAGGGCAGAACCTTTCAGAGGAGACCACCAAGAAGCCAACCAGCCAGTCTTTCTGGTAAGCCATGTGGGGACCAAGAAGAGAAAATTCAAATAGTACTTTTCATGAGCCTACTGGTGCTTGGGCAGAAAATCAACACACCCTGCCAAGCAGTTGGTTGGTTCAGAGGACAGGCTGAGTTGATAGAAACTAAGATACAAAAAGCAACTAAATGCTTGTATTGTTTGATTGATTTTGCAGGCCTCGGGTCAGTAGTCTGAGCATCTATTGGGAGGATGACAATATGCAGTATAGTAATTATGGGGGATTTCCTTTTATCTTGTCTTTGAAATCCAATATTGTTGTCACTATTTTGTTCTGATTGTTTTGCTTTATTCAGTGTTCTGTCTTGATTGGTTTTATTCTGTTTGTTTGATTTTGCTATGCCTTATGGAATGCATAACTATTGTGAAGATGACAAGATATACTATGGTAGCTACTGTTGTTTTCCTAATATCCTGCTTTGAAGTTCTGTACCAATTTTGCTTTGTTTTGATCGGTTTTGTTCTGTTGGATTTTATTATCTTTAAAATAATAAAAAAGAAAATATAAATCTTCATGGTACTCAGAAGGAAAAAAAAAAACAAATGTAAAGATCCATTCATTAGAGAGAAATGCCCTGCCACTCCTCATCCCCATGAGCCTGCTACCACAGGCAGGGAGAAAGGAAGGCCCCCCCCCTCCAGTGAGCATGCTGCCCTGGCCTGGAAAGAAGACCACCACCCCCATTGGCCCACTGCTTTGGGTCAGAGAAGAATAAGCCACACCCCTGAGGTCCCACCACCATGGAGGGAACATCATTGAGTAACTACCCTGTATCTCTCGGCCACCCTGGGAACCTCAGATGGGAGGATGAAGGAGTAGGGTGCAATCTCAAACCTCCAACCCACCTAGAGAAAGTCCAGAAGACAGACACAAAAATTAGAAGTCACATCTCCAAAAGAAAAAAAATGCTGGGCGTGGTAGTGTCCTCCTATAATCCCAACACTCTGGAGGTTGAGGTGGGAGGATCATTGCAAATTCAAGACCAGCCTGGGCTACAAAGTGAGCCAAATGCCAGTCTGAATGGCATAGCAAGGCCCTGTCTCCAAAAGGCAAAAAATATAAATAAATTAAAAATTATAAGTCATATACTTGAAATTTCTGGAATGATAGCAACAGAAGTGAAGAGACTTAGTGCTTACTTTGCATATCTGTCTGCTGGTCTGAGCATCTATTTAGAGGACAACAGTGTGCATTATAGTAACTATGGTTGATTTTCTACTGTCTTGTTTTTGAAATCTAATATTCCCATTGTTTTGTTTCATTTTGTTTTATTCTCTTTAAAAGAAAAAAGAATTACACTGGGAATTGGAAAGTAAAAAAAAAAAAAAAGATTGAAGAGATGTTCATTTACACCTTCCCACAATGAATGTAATCATTATGAACAGCCATCATTCTTAAATAAACATTTTTAAAAGGCATTGAACTCAAACACTTGGGTTCCAGTCTCTGTTCTGATCCTGACCCTTAAGACCTTTAATCTTGTCTCTTCAGATCAAGGTGGGAAGAGAACATATCTACAGTGGTTTCCAGCCACAGACATTTAGAAAAGAGGCAGGGAGTGGGTCCTTGTGTCCCATGAGATTTACTGTATGTACTTGTGACCAGACTCCTGCCTGGTGATGCTTTTAGGAGGCCAGAGCTGTCTGCCCTGCCGCTACTTTGCAACTGTGCCAAAATCCCCCTACCCAGGGATAGGATATAGCAAATGAAATACAAGAAAAGAACAAATGATGTGGAACACGATTTATCCATAAAATGGATATTTTATTGAGTACTGTTGGTTACCGGGAGAATGGCTGAAGTGGGAGGGGGAAACTCCTCCCCAGTTCTTTCTGCTCCAGCCTCTGGAGGGTGGGGTGAGCACTGGGGACCTAAGAACACTCTGCAGCAGACACACTCTTCTCCACAGTGCTCCCTTCATGTGTGACCTGACAGCTGTATCTCTTGTGAGATCTCCACTGGTTGGGCATCAGGATTAGGTAGCTGCTGGCCCTGTATTTGTTGTTGCTCTGTTTGGAGAGCTGGGTGGTCTCCACACCCTGGGTAATGAGGGTGCCATTTGCTTTCCAGGCCACCACTATGGTGGCTGGATAGAAATCATTTATCAGACACACCAGAGTGGCCTTGTTGGCCTTGAGCTCTTCAGAGGAGGGTGGAAACAGTGTGACTGATGGGGAAGCCTTGGGTTGACCTGTTGAGAATGGAGGATAGGGTATAAGTCAGCAAGGAAAGCCCAGGTATTGAGGGTCCTCCACACCAACATCTCTGACCATCTAACCATTTATGTTGAGCTGTTTTATTACCTGAGGTCCTTCTGTCCCTTCTCATTGCCTTATTGCCTACGTCCTCTGCAGTTTCCTAGAAGCCCTTCCCAAATCCCTTCCCTCAGGTGACCTAGCCCAGTCCCTCCTCTTGCAACCTCCACTTTCCTGTTATCATCAAGGAAGACTGTATTTCTTCCTCCTTGCTCTCTGGAGTGTGAGCTTGGAATCTGGCCCTGACCGCCTGAGTCCTCAGACCAGGGCACTAACTCACTTCATTCTTCCAGAGCCTAGAGCTACCTCTGAGAAGTGGAAGTCCCCATCCAGCCTTGAAGGGTGGTCCTGGGGCACACGGGAAGACCCGGAGTCTGTGGCTGCCATACTGGAAGCCTAGCACCTCCTGCCTTCTTGAGCAGCATGCTATGCTCCATCCTTGTCCATTCAGCTCTCCCAAGAAGTAGTGGGCTCCTCCCAGATAAGCCTGGGTGCTCCTGCAAGCTGCTGCCATCTTTCCTGTCTCCACTGGCCTGGTCACAAGACCCTTCACCTTGGCTGTGTTTTTGAGGCTTCTCCCCTCAGACTATGGGTACAGCAGCTTCTGATGACTTCTGATTTTACCTAGAGCCAAGAAGCTTATTTTTTTCTCTTTTTGAGACAGGGTTTCACTCTGCAGTTCAGGCTGACCTTGAACTCACTTTGTAGCCTAGACTGGCCTTGAATTCACAGCAATCCTCTTGCCTCAGCCTCCAGAGTGCTGGAATTACAGATGTGTGCCACCACCCCAGGTGCCAGGTAGCTTTTTGAACTCCCTGTTTGTTCCTCTGTTTCTTATTTCCTGAGTCTATTATATTCTTTGAGGAAGGTAAGAAGCTGACTGTGAGGTTGCAAGGAAAGGCGCTGGGTAGCCTAGAGTTAGTCATATATTCTCTGATTTTTGTTAGCCTCCTCATGGGGCAATTTTCTTCTGAGTCCCTAGAAGTCGATGTCACAGCCTCAGCCATGTCCTCTTGTGTAGGTTCTCCCAGCCTGAAGATAGGTATCCAACGTTTAGCCCAGATCCTGGAGCCTGGAGGATTATCTTTAGTGCTACCCAAAACTAAGTTCTTAGCCCCATTTGGGCATCTGGCCTAGAGGAGGGGACACAGCCTCTGCCTCTGGCCAAATCCTAACCAGACCAGGCCACATCTCACTGTTGGACTCTGAAGATGGCTACTTCTGCTTCTGGGGCACTTACTCCTGGTTGCCTCAAGACTACCCACCTCCTCAAGGTCTCATGGAGAAAGGTAAAGGCATTGATCTCTAAGACTGGGGAGGAACAGAGAGAAAGAAGCACCCGGAGAATGGATTTTGCTGAGGCAGCAGGAGAGTGGGACAGATTGAGAAAGGTCTTTAGAGCCACTTACCTAGGACAGTGAGCTGGGTTCCACTGCCAAAGACAAACATTGGTGACTGAGACTCGGACCAAAAGCCATGGGGCCAGCACCTGGGGCCTGCCTCCTGGGGGTGGGGCTGGAGAGGGAACCTGATGGGTGAGACAGGCATATGGTTGCAAAGCCTAGGTTATTTCCTTGGTGGAAGGCAGGTGGGCCAGAGGCCTCCTTGTCCCAGGAAGACATTGTTCATAGTCATAGAGTTACCCCATATGTGTCCCCACCTTCCCTCTTTCTGAGGCTATCAGTGCAATGAGAATGTCGGGCCCAGTAAATCCCTGAGTAGCACATATTCTCAGGTGAATATGGTATGCTCATTTTAGGGCCTCTGTGTCCCTTTCTTATGAATCTTTCATGATCTAGCCAGGTTGACTTCCTCCTGGAGCCATGGTCATTGGGTGACTCCTGACTCCTGTGGGAAGACTCTTCTGCTTTCATGTCCATCCAAAGAGACGTAGCTCAGTCTTACTGTATTCATGAGACCTTCTCTGATCTTTTCTTTTCTATCTTTTTTTTTTTTTTGCCTTTTTCCTTTTTATCGGTACTGGGGATTGAACTCACAGACTGCCTGCTTGCAAGGCAGGCACTTATGCTGCTGAGCTAAATCCCCAGCCCCTTCTCTGATCTTTTTAACCACTCTTTCCATTCATCCATCATCCATTCATTGTCTATTCATTTGTCCCTCCATCTGTACATTTATTTCTCCATCCATCCATCATCCATCATCCATCCATCCATCCATCCATCCATGTATCTACCTGTCCATCTGTTTATCCATCTTTCCATCTATGCATCCATTTTTCCATTCATTGTTAAATGTCCATTCGCTGTTCATCTGTTTGTCCATCCATCCATGGTGCATCCATATGACCATTTACTCATCTATCCATCCATCTTTCTGTCTCTCTCTCTCTCTCTTTCTCTCTCTCTCTCTGTCTTGTCTGCCTGTCTATTCATGGATCCATCCATCTGTACATCTTTTTGCACCTCACATGCTGGGGACATGGTGAAGGCACCCTTGGCTCTCACATCTCACATCTATATTTCTCAGGTGAAGACCACAAGGTCTTCATCACGTTCAAGTCTGCGATTCCTCCCAGTTTGTATTGCACCTGATATCTCTGCAGGATGCAACCTAAGATCTGTCCATCTTTCCAGTGACCCTCCCCCACTGTCTCAGATCACCCACTCTCCTCTTTCTCTAGGTTTTCTTTCTCCCAGGCCTATCTGTGGCTGCTGAGTCCTGCTTCTCTTCCTGCCATCTTCCTGCATTATGCATTTCCACTACTGCCCATATAGTGAGGTGTGAGTTTATCCCAGCTGCAAACCATCTCAGCTCCACCTGATCTACCTATTGACCATCTCTAACTACATGACCAACAAGAAGTTCAAACTCATCATGTCTAAATGAAATTGACCCCTAACCCAGCTTTTTTTATGTCTTCATCTCATCACATGGACCATAAATGCTCTTCTGCCTCATATTGGAAACCTGGAGATATAGACTGAGTCTCCTCATTTTCCACTCTGACACTGCTTGTGTGTCCTTAGATGCTTCATCTGAAAATCATTTTTTTTTTTTTTTTGGTGAATATCCCTTTTTGAAGTGAAAGCAAGACTTGAAATACAATGGTAACTCGGTTCATATACTAATTCTTAATTCTATGATTCTGGTAGATTGAATCTATCAGAATTGGATGAGGACTAAATCAGATTTCCTCATTAGATTAACATTGAACCTAACTACTGAATTTTATTTTTTTTTTTGTACAATTCGGTTTGTGACCAGAATTGTGGAAAGAATAAAGTTTGTGAACCAAGGTACCACTGTAATTAAGAAACAATAAACCATCTTTTGAGGTCCCAAACCCACAAGAATCTCCAGGTTTTGCTTATGTCAATTTTAATTATCAACTCCTTTTTCTAAAGGATCTAGCAGTGAATCAGTGCTGACTGTCAGGGGTTGGCCCAGTGTACTTCCATCTTAGAAGCTGGTCCAGTAAGCAAGAGTTTGTCTTGTGATGCAAATATAAGAAATTTTAGTTTAAATACCTTTATTGTTTTAAAAGTACAAAAGTATAACATATAATACAATTAGGCAATATAGAAATACATTTTTGAAGTGTAATCTTTATCTTTTCATCTTCTGCTAGTTAATGTCCTTTCTTTTTAAACTGTGATAAAATATATCACATAGGATTTTCCACTTTAACCACTTAAACCAAATAAAGAGCATTAAATTAAGCATGTTCACACCATCACATTATCCATTTCCAGAACTCCAAACAGAAACTCTGTACCCATTAATCATTAAGTCCTCACTTCTCTTTACCAGTCCGTGTTAACCTCTGCTCTATGTGTGAATTTTTGCCTACTATAGGTATCATATATAAGTGGAGTCGTATAATACTTGTACCTTTGAGTCTGGTTCATGTCACTGAGCACAGTGTCTTCAAGTTTTATCCATGTGGTAGAAGATTTTCAAAATAAATTTTTGGCTGAGTAATAAAAAACCTACTTAAAAGTAACTAAAACTTAAAATCTGTTGAAAGTAATAAAAATCATTTTCTCAAAAGCAAATGAAGGAAATAAGTCTTAATTCATCAACAACAGAATCATTAACAATAACCACTCTTGTTTTCCAGTACAAGAAATCAAACCTAGGGCTTTGTACGTGTTGGGCAAGTACTCTGCTATGGAGCTACACCCTTCAGCCCTCCAATAACTCTAAATAGTGAAAAGCTACGTGCAGTCTCAAGATCTGAAAATGAGGTAGGATATCCTTTGTGACTTTTACTTTGTATTATTTTGGGTGTTCTAGTCAATGCAAAAAGAGAAGAACCTAAGGGTATAAATATTAGAAATAAAGAGAGCAAGCTGAAAAGTTTCCAAATGAAATATTAAAATTGATAACTGTATTCTCATTATCAATAACCATCAGGTTCTCTGTAATCTGGGAGAGAAGGCAGGAGGATCACAAGTTCAAGCTTACCTTGGGCAACAGTATCTTAGCAAGATCCTGTGTCAAAATAAAAAATAAATTGAAAAGGGGCTAGGGATGCAGCTCCATGGGAAGACTATGGGTTCAATTACCAATGGCAGGGAAAAAATTTAAAACTAACTAATTAGGTTATATAGTGGGGGTCAATCACATTCTCAGAAGCAGTAATGAAATCATATAAGATACCTTATTAAGAAACATGCAATGCCAGGTATGGTGACACATCTGTAGTATCAGTACTCAGAAGGCTGAGGCAGGAGGATAGATGTGAGTCTGAGGCCAGTGTGAGCTACGTTAGTTCAAGGCCAGCCTAAACTACATAGTGAGACCCTGTCTCAACAAACAAAACAAAAACCACCACCACCACCACCAAAACAAAAAACCCATCAGACAGCATAGTATACATGATTATAGTCCCAGCTACCCAGGAAACTGAAGCATGAGGCTTATTTAACCTAAGAGTTTGGGACAAGCCTGGCTGTCCCACCTCAAAACAAATACAAATGAAAACAGAAAAGGGATAAAAATCCACATGAATGAAGCTATAAAAATTTACTAAAATACACAGAAGGAAAAATAAGTCCTGCTGCTGGACGGAAAGGTCAAATGTTTTAAAAATTGTGGTAATTTTTTTAGTCAGGTAATAAAAGTAATTCACTTATAATCACAATTCCAATTTTCAAAAAAAAAATAAATGTTTTGATTTTAAAATGCATTTTGAAGGAAAAATATGAGGAACATCTCTTTCTCTAGATATCAATCCATATTTAGAATTAAAGGAGTTAAAATGGTGTGATAGCAATATAAAGGAACTAAAAGAGTTGTAAATGGAAGAGGACACAGAGATGGGGGAGCAGTGGGAAGGGAGAGGAAGGGGAAGGGAAACGAACGAACATCTGTGTTGTGTACATTGATCAGTTCCCACGATGAATGTAATCATATGTATTATAAAAGCCTATCTAAACAACCCTTCCATAATGGCAAGAAAATATCAGCAAACCAAGTCCAACAATGTATTAAAAGAACTATATGTTACAGCCGAGTGGGATTTATTCTAGGAATACAAGATATTCAACCTAACAAAGTCAATGTTGTGTACCATACATCAGTGTAATGTATTTCACTTGTACTAATTTAATGAAGAAATATAATCACACTACTATCTCAATGGATGCATTAATGAGTGACTAATGAAATTCAACACTATTTTCTGACATGACACCTAAAAAGTTAAAGCTCAAAGGAAGGTCTTCAACATGATAAAGACCATGTATGAAATATACACACTAACTTCATACTCAGTGGTAGAAGACTGAAACATTTTTTCCCCCTGAGATCGGGAATAAGGCAGGGAAGCTCACTGTTTCCCATTGAAGATTCTAGCCAGAGAAGGGTCAAGAACAGGAAGTCAAAGGATTTCAGATTGGAAAGGAAGAAGTATAACTTCTTGAAGGTGATGTGACCTTATATATAGAAAATCCCAGAAGACACACACAAACTCACATTCACACTTACACTCACACACACACACACACACACGCACTCTGCTGGAGCAAACAGATACGTTCATTAGTTACATGACAGAAGATTGACACACAAAATCATTCATATGTCTATATACTAGCAATGAAAACTCAAAAATTAAAAAATCTTCACTTACAATAGCATTAAAAATACTCAGAAATTTAAACAGTAAGAGATTTATACACTGTAAACTGCAAAGTATTGTTCAGAGAAATTAAAGACCTAATAAAATATATACTTATGTTCATGGATTGGGAGATAATAAGATGGTAATACTATCCAAAGTGATCTATAGGGTCAGTGCATTGTCTATCAAAATCTCAATGGTCACCCATTTTTAACGATTTGCCAAAACTGATTGGCAAATTCACATGGAATTCTTAAGGACTCCAGTGTGGCAAAATGATCTTGAAGAGGAAGACTAAAGATTAAAAGCCTCACATTTTCTAATTTTAAAATTGCTACAAAGCTGAAGTAATAGCAACAGTGTGGTATTGTCATAAGGACAGAAAGTTGAGAGTTCAGAAGAAACATATATCAATTGTCTATTTGTACTATTTCTTTTTT